GGGGCGTTATAATGTGACAGTCAATCCCACTATTTGTTGGTGGTGGGTGGTGATGACTAGCTGCCTTCCCTTTAGTCTTACACTGCTAAATTAGGGATGGCTAGCGCAGATAGCCCTCGTGTGGCTTTGCGCGAAATTCAAACAAACAAACAAACAATTCCACAGTCAGTACGTTTCTCGTCACTTTCAACTTAACAACTTTTATAATACACGCTATAAATCACAGCGATTCACAACCTCGATAACTTCGTTCTCTACGAGTGCAAAACACACACTTTACGGCTCACTAGTTCGAAACTAACAGAATCATAAATTACACAGAAATCACCATAACTACTGTTCGCTTAACCCCGCTGGCTTTTCTCGCCAGGCTTATATACTAACAAAGAGGCTTCTCCAAAATTCGCAGAGTTCCCCGATAATTCGAGAAATTCAGTTACGAATGCGCCGGCAGCGTCACGTGACTTCCGCTGTATTAACAGTATGTATTTGATATGTATCGTGATGCAGTGTAGGTATAACATCAATATGGTAGACTGCAAAGAGATCTCATTCACAAAAAACGAATTTGAACAACACACGAGTTTTCATCCTTAGTGTTTAATGTTTCAAACTGTTACTAGAAGAACCTGAAAATAAAGTATTGTTACTTCTCTGGTCGTTTGTTAATTTCCAGTAGAAATTCTTCCCGAAAAACTTCAGCAATACAAGTCCTTTCTTAAATAGATTTAGTTTATTCTTTCTCAATACAACTTTGCAATACACTTAATTTCCACAATCAATTTAACTTAAACACACGCTATACTTCACAACGAACGATTCACGCACTTACATACTACCGCGCTTGACTCAATTGTCCGTCTCTGTCTGTCTGCTATTCTATTGTTGTCGTCACTTCTTGGCGGTCTTATATATTATAAAAGCGTACATCTCGTCTCTTCGTGAATCTTCTAGAAACTCATCACGCATTACCAGAGTCACGTGACTTCCGCTTTCGTAACAGTATCAAATTTATTGGGAGTACTATAAAGCTACAGTACAACCCAATTCCAGGCCAAATATATTTGCATTTTCACTTTAGAAGTTCCAAATCTTCCAGTTCTACAGGTCCAATGGCTTCCATAAGCATTTGCCCCCACCTCTCTCAAATTAACTCTGTACTACATGGCTACACCCATCATTTATAGAAGTGAATCATATACTGATATAGAGAAACTACGTAATACAAGAAACAAACAACCTGATTTACTGATGCCCTAAACGAAACATTCAAAAATATAAGTTGACCGAAAAGAATAAAACAGTTATTACCCCTCCCCCAGTACACAGCAGCAAGGCAATTCTCAAGCCTTATAACAGAATATAGCCGAGTTTCGATACCCATCGTGGACACAACACAGATAACCCATTGTGCAGCTTTGTGGTTAATAATAAACAATCTTCTAATCTTAATGCTAAATACATATATATAAGTACAAAATCTGTGAACAATGAATTACAGAATTTTACTTACAACGGATATAATTTTTATTATAATATATACTTACTGTTATTTCCATTTGAAGCTGTCCACCTGCCATCTAAACTAAGATAATAAAAGCAGTACGTTGAGGGAATCCATGATAAAATTATCAATATACATTGGTACATAAACATAGACAGAACAAAGTGTTTCGTCATTTTTTATCGTTCTTCTGCATTAAAGAAGATGTCAAATGCAATTGACATACGTACAACCCATCTGGAGAAGACAACAACCAGAAATGCCCAGATTTTTACGTTATCCGTAACTGAAGGTCAAAATATTGAACCAACACCCTATTTACATTCGAAAGACTACGAGTTACACAACACGTCACGTGCACACAGCAGCCACCTTATCAAACTGTAAACTTAAAACCAAGGAAGAAGCGTACGTGATACGTTATATATTGAAGAACGCGTCTTACACTTGAAAACCGCAATATCTTATTTATGATAATAGTTGCAGTGTTTACTTGATGTAATTAGATTAAAATAATAATATTAGCTAATTTAATTGTTGATGAAACCACTTAATCAATTGGCAATGCCATTTAAGTGCGGCATTTGTTACAATTTAAAATTCTAATTTATAGAAGCATATATATATATATATATATATAAAGCAGAAGATATAAATATGGCATTTCTCAAACTTATGCGCCCACACCTTTTTGACATAAAAGAAGAAAAAATACTATTCCATGAGACGGTTATATATCAAGTTCAGTTTTTCTGTGGAAGGAATATCACTGACTAATAACTTAGTACGAAAATAAAGCTACTGATAATTTGTAATTTTTATTTATTTATTATGAGAACTTACAGAAGTGTTCAGATATTTTATACATTCTTGGGTCATTCACAGAAATTCTGATTTAATATTTTGCTGAAAACAAAAGTTCGGTTAAATCATTAATATTGAGCCAGCTTAGTAAGACATAATAATTTTATAATTCATTTCCAAAAACAACTCTTTCACAAGAAAAAACTATACATTTTTATAATGGATAGAATATTTGTTATCATATTGATTGTTTTCATAATGAATAAAAAAGTTTAAAACAACGTTTAATTTTCAAACTTATCTGTTGGGCTGTCAGACCCCTTTTTTATTCCCTTGTTTTATGCCCCCACCCGATGGTTCAGGGATGAATCTGAGGGCTTACAACGTTAAAAACCAGGTTTCGATACCAACAGTGGGCAGAGCACAGATAGCCCATTGTGTATCTTTGTGCTTAACAAAAAGAACAAAGAAAAATAAAACTTGTATTACAACAAAACCTATGTACTCTAGTACATTTAATTGTTTATAGCTTGCTTCATATTTTATAATGACGTGTTCTATCACTGTGCGGGTTCTTTTGGATTATTTGGTAGAAATAATGTCAAGTTCAGTCCACATAACGATTATGAATTAATTTATTTTTCAGTAAATGTTTTCTACATCCATGATCACTTGTAGGCCCAATTTCATAAATAACAACTTTTCAACATAATTTCCAAAACAAATGTAGGCCAAACTTCGAATACAACGTTTCAGTAGAAATTCCGAGACTAACTGTTACGCAAGTCTAACTTAATTAGATGAGATCAATCAACGAATACACTAACTCACTGAGTAAGTGAATAGTAGAATAGATGCGATAATTCTCACTTCTAACACTGACTGCCTTTTCTGACACCAAACTGACTACTTATTGATAACTCATATTTAAACTGTACTTCCTCATTTCTCGATTTTTAACTTTCAAAATCTTACGTCATGCACCCTCTAGCAAACATATAAATTAAAACATTGAAAATTTAGCTTACGACACTGCTACCTTCTTGGATTGTGAAATCCCTTGAACAGTCCTAATACACATGTGAAACAGTACACTAAATTATCTATTCACCAAGTCTTTATTTTTGTGGTTTTCTCTTCCAAGGACTATGGTATGCACACGGGATGACCTCTTGTCCTTTGTCATCATCACTTTTGTCCTGTAACTGAGAAAGTTCTCCTTGGTTAGGTGGCCGAGTGAATCTACTGGTGACTGTTTCCTTGGTCATTTTTCTGAAAGAGGTCTCAACAGGAACCCTGGTCTCTTCAGTAGGTTGACGTTCTGAAGGCAAATTCTTCTCTGAAATTTCCCAGTTAGCTATTCTTTCACCAATTTAATTCTGAAGACGAAAATAGTGGATGACCTTTGTGTTGGACCGCCTGTCATTCTGGATTCTGTAAGCCACGTCATTGATTCTTTTCAGTAGAATTTACAATACCTTCCCAATACCTGTGTGGACATCTGCATAGACAAGTGGAATTGTTTTATTGGATCAGTTAATAGCTTGTTAGCTTTCCATCTCTTAAGATGAATCTCTGCTGAACGATGAAAACCAAGTAGAACTAGCCAAAGAAAGCATGTCTGAATTTAACAGGTAAACTCGCTTTTTAAGTTCAGCCAATAGCATCACCTCATGATATTTGTTCTAGCTTTTGCATCTAGTCAACATCATATCAAAGGATATTTCACTGCCATTCCTTTTAACACAGATGATATATATTACTGCTATATCTTCTTGGGCAAAATAAACATTACCTACAATTTAGAACAAAGAAACAAAGCAACTGGAACAAGGTAATCTTAACAACTTTCTGGACCACATGTTGCTGTCTTTAAAACATAGGCACTAAATAACCAAAAATATTAAAAATATCCATATCACCAAATCAGTTATAAATCATGATATGCCTGCACATCACTCCATGTCACTTTGGGAAAATATATTCTTATCAGCATTAACATCATAGAGGTTTTTCATTTTATCACTAGCTTGTCTGGGTAAAGTCATATATAATATTAATGATGTACCTTAGTTTCACTGCATATTCTGTATAAGACTGCTGGGTGACTATCTTCTTGATGTTAGTACAAAAGGTCCAATGTCACTTTACACTCTCGCCCAAGCATCATTAATGATGATGTAGGTGCATGTATTGCTGTTTAGTAACTTATAAGTAGCAGTGGAGGATCTCTATCGCACGTTTTCTGATGTTTGTCCACATAAGTTGCTAACTGATTTAAAAATGGATTGTTTTGTCTCTACAGTATGCCATCAGAAAACCTTTGACTTTTGGCTGTGTGGAATAACTGTTTATCAAGAGAGGTTTTCTGCACTATTCTTGATCCGCTAAATAAACGGTTTCAAACTCATATCTTTTATCTGGGCATCTTTCAGTTGGGTGTTGGACCAAATTTGTTTTTAATAATCACTTGTGGGTGTTACATCTAGGATTATATACTGTTGTATTTTAGGTTTGTCGTCATTACTGTCTTGTGCCTCCCTCTTTGTACAGTGTTTACGTTTTTCATTAACATATGGTATTCAGGATAATGTGTCAACATTTCAATATTTTCATCCAAGGTGATGTACAACTTTAAAGTTATACTCCTAAAGTTTCTTTCACCATCTTACTATCTGGCCTTCTGTGTTGACAAAAAAAAAAAAACACACACACACAACAAAAAAACAGCCAATTCAGTGCTGCATAATCTGACTAGAGTGTAAAATTTTATCTATATAGGTAATGATGTAAACGACTTAGGACTCGATAAAACACATATTAGGTCTTTTTGATCTCCTTCCTGTAGTATTCATTACCTTGCTATAACAGGCAATCATATTTTTCTTTCCTTGTTGTACTTGTAATAACACTGTTCTCATTGCAAAATTACTTCAAGAGTTGAATATACTGTTAAGACAGCGGAGGTCACGTGACTCTGGTAACACGTGATAAGTGTCTAGAAGGTTCATGAAGAGGCGAATGCATTCTAGACGCCCTCTATTCTTGTATATAAGCGCGGCAAATAAAGCGAGATAATTAACTGAATAGCAGACAGAGAGATAGGGAGACAGATAATTGAGTCAAGTCGTAAGTAAAATGCGTGAATCGTTGTGAATTATAGCGTGTGTTGAAGTTAAAGTGACCGTGGAAATTAAGTGTATTGCAAAGTTGTATTGAAAAAGAATAAACTAGTTTTATTTAAGAAAGAACTTGTATTGCTGAAGTTCTTCGGAAAGAAATTTTATGAGAAATTAACAAACGACCAGTAACGTAACAATGCCAATACAGGAGTGATGGTTAATTCATTCTTCAGTTCGTTGAACGCTTGTTTACAATCAGCAGTTTAACTAAATGTATTTGGTTTTTTCAAGTAGTTTATACAGAAGACAAGTTATATTAAAGAATGATTTTACAAAACAACAAAAGTAAGAGCACAGTCGAAGAACTTCTCTTACCACATGCAGGTTCTTTTACGCTGGCCAATTCTGGACAAATTCAATCTTAGATGGGTCTGTAGACACTCCCTCTCTGCTAATTACGGGTCCCAAGAGCACTTCATACGTCTTAGAACTCAGTTTAAGGTTCTCTTTCCTCAACCAATCTAGAACCTTCCTTAGCCCATCATAAACATTATCAAAGGTTTTCTCATGTGTGATTGTGTACTACATTCCAGGGTAGTTAAGAGAAAACATACTCCATTAATTACTGCATATAGTAGATGCACTACATAATACAAATTGTAACACAACAAACTGCCACAACTCATTCCTTGCGGTAAATGCTGATTTTATATTCTCACTCTTAAGATCCAATGTTGAAAACCATTTGGATCATAATAGTGCATTTAAAGTAGACTCAGTTCCTTGGCAGTGGGTAGACATCCTTTTTGTGACTTCACTCACATTCTGGTAGTCCATGCAGAACCTTGTGGATTCATAATTCCACTTTACAAGTACAATAGGTGTTGCTCTAGTACAAATACCCAGTTCTACCATCGCTTTTTCTGTCATGGCTTCTCTCTCTTTGAAAACCTCAGTTTATTTTGCAAGTATTAGTCGTCTGGCTAACTGACATTTTGCAGATGCATCTCCAGTATCGATCTTACAATATATCTTATTTGTTAAACCTAAGCCATCAGGTCCACTTGATATTCCACGAGTAAGTCACTTAATCTCTGGCATTGATCAGCTATAAAACCTCCAGAGTTCTAGTTATAGAACTCTTTTTAGTGTGGTGGTAAGATGTCCTGATATAAGGATTTGACATCAGACAATCCTATATGTAACCTCAAAGATGACTACGACTACTTCTGATGTTATTTGATGTGGAAGTATTAACTGTACAGCTTTACATCTTGCAATGCCTCATCCTGACTTGACTTGAATTCTATGGTTTGTTGTGTTCATGGCCATGATAATAACATGCACTCTTCAGATCCACGAGAGTTCTTGGAACTAATTATCAATCAGGACATGCTGGAGTATTTGGTTCTACT